TAGAGCTGATGAGGAAGCCAAGGGAAAAGAAAACACAAGGGGGCAGCAGAGGACAAAGAAAAACCTACGAAACTGAAATGAATCCAGACACACCAATAAAGCTAGAAAACAAGTAAAAACCTGGATGAACTTGAAACTTAGAGAAAAACAACAGAACCAAGATCGTTACAAATACAAAAAAGGCCTCAAGCTACGAAAACAAACCCATAATCACCATGTTGTAAAGCTACTGTTCCACCAGGCACCCTGACTTTCCAACAGTTACTCATACTGCAAAGCTAACAGGGCTGCGCAATTAGTCCGAATCAAACTTTCAGAACTTACTGGATAGAAAGGAAAATATAATGATGGTTCATATATGGTTAGATTTAGGGAAATAATTTAGGACATTGTTCTGTTTTCTTGTTGCTGGTTCATCACAGCAGTTACTTCCTGACACTTGCTCAACTAAGAAATTACAGTAACATGTTAAATTATGTTTTCTTAAAATATATAAAGTGAAGATGGTTTTTACTGTGCGCCTTATATCTCAAGTTAAATGGTAGAATCACAGTCAGTCATTTTAAAGAAGGTTATCGAGATACAGAAAATTAACAATTGAAACTCGATGTTTACGCTATAGTCAAATGAAATAAATCCAGCTGTTTTTGTTCAATCAACCGAAATCCGGGCTGCAGAAACAACACTTTAAAGTAATATGTCTGTTGTTGATTTCAAACTCCACACCTGCAGCGTCTGCAGTTGCTTACCTCAGGGTTGCCACTCTGTGTCTCCTCGTTGTGCAGCAATCTCACCAGCCTTCCTGAGGAGTTTAGGCTGACATAGACTTGGAGACACGGGTAACGGGAACGCTTCCAGCAGTCTACCCCACAGCTGTATGAGCAGTTTACGTCCCATACTATGGTGGAGTTCACTATGGTGCAGCTATCCTCTTCTGTCCACACACTGAGGAGACCAGGGCAGTCATTTTTAACATGCATTTCACGGGCATTAACGTGCATTTCAAAAGTATTCATGTACCTTGAAGAAGAAATTAATTTCCATATAACCAAGCACCCTCGAAACATTATTAAACAAGCTATTCATACGTGAAAAACCTGCGGAAAACTAATCTTTAAGGTTGTCAGAGAGAGTCATCTTTAAGATTTTTTTACTTTGAGACAGTAAGCATGTAGGAGATGATGTGCTGGACAGGTGAGATGAATTTGCTGGGCTAGATGCTAAAGCTTATGTGTGATGGAAAGCTCACACACTCGGGAACACATCACCCCAATAGTGAAGCAAAGGAAATGTTTTTGTTTCTTTCAAGCAGTGTGCTTGTGCTCAGAGAAGGTTGCAAATACCTGGTTTGATCCCCCCAGCCTGCACTCTGGTTCTCTGAGCGAGACCCTTAACCCCACACTGCTCCAAGGGTGCCACACAATGGCAGCCCACTGCTCCCCAAGGAGATTGGCTGAATGCAGAGAGTTGTTTTTTCCATTGTGAGATCAATAAAGTTCAATTTCTATTCTTTATAACAGGGACAGGATTGCTGCAGAGATAAATGGCAGCAATTATAGAGCAATTACTTTAGATCAGGGGTGTGAAATAAATTTTTTAGCACTTCGGCATTAACAAGTCTTTAAACTGTCTGGTTGCAATCAATTCAATTCAGTTTATTTCTATAGCGCCAATTCCCAACAAAGGTCATTTCAAGGCACTTTACAGTTCACCAGATCATCCAGTCAGATTGATTCAAAGGTTTCTGTCTAAGGAAAACCTTTTGATTGCGTCGACTCATTTACTCATATGCGATCCCTCACACTAAGCATGCTTGAAGCGACAGTGGAGAGGAAAAGGGTTAGGAAGAAAGCTCCAGCAGAACCAGGCTCAGTGTGAGCGGCCATCTGCTGAGGCCGACTGGGGTTCAAGGAGACGGAAGCAGAGATAGAAAAAGGAGCTGTTGCTTTTTGCAATTGCAGTTTTATCACTTTTATCACTATTTCCTTTACAAAGAAAACACTACTCTGGTATAATACCTTTATTTCCATTTATCTTCCAGTTTTAGCAGCTTATTTGAAAACAAGATGCTATGGAGCTAAATTTGAGCCATAAACCTCAGTCAATCTTCATTTCATTTTTTTAATAAACAAAATGAAAAGGGAAAAATAAATATTTCAAAATTGAAAAATTCTTTGAAAACTGAAAAAATAAGAAGACATTTCTACTCCCCACGATTCCTGAATGTTTTCCAGGCAAACTAACCTATCAGTCATCATTCCACACCCCATGTCATCTAAGTCCTGCCCCTATTCTCAGGAAATCCTTCAAAATATTCAATTTTCATTCCATATTCTCAGGAAATCCTTCAAAATATTCAAGTTTCATTCCATATTCTCAGGAAATCCTTCAAAATATTCAAGTTT